TGAACCTGGAACCTTTGAGTTAGTAGTCTTGTACCCTATCCATTACCCTACGGTGACGCTGCTGGAAGAGGAACGCCAGCTACCGATCCCTTTTTAAAGCACACGCACAGCGCCCCAGCCAGCTCTCTGGTTTATAGGGTGTTGTGCGTTGTACGGTCAGAAGTATAGCCTTGAATTTAATTAATAATTGTACTCCCTTGACAAAATTTACAAATTTGTTCAATTATGTATACAAAGTATTGAACACTATTTTTATCGTTGAACGAAATAGACGGCGGATATCACGTGGATTCCACGTTATTTCCACGTTATTTCATGAATCGTGAAAAAAACAAAAACAAAATGCATCTCTCTGAGAAAACTGTACAGTTATATACCACATTTAGCAATAACTTCAAGTTTATCATAAGTTTTTTTGTGGTTTATATCTGATGCAAAGTGGCGGAAAAAACCTGGAATCCACGTGATATCCACCAATTCGAGTTCAAATGAACCAATGTCACAAAAGGGGAAATTATCCATCTCTTTTCAGTAATAAGTTATCGTTTTGCATTTAAAAGTGACCAAGAGAACAAAGCCAAGGGTGGTTGAAATACCGTGGATGTATCCACGTCCACGAGATTTCCACGAATCCACGTGGAATCAACGTTGAATCCACGTACCGCTCCTCTTTGGGGATATTGCGACATTTCTCGATATAGCGATATCTCGATACTTTTGATACCCTCGTTACGCCCGATCCCTCGATACGTTTCGGTACGTCACTAAACAGCGCGGAGGACAGAGTCGCTGTATCACCTTAAAGCCCAGGTTTTACACGGTGCAGGTCCTAATACGGCTCCGTTGTAGACAGTTTTTCCCGGTTTTGCATGCAAGGTGGTCCTGTACATTATTCTCCGTACCAAATTTTAACCATTGAAACTACAGCAATACTGTTATTTGAATAACAGACGTTGCTGGAAAATAATTAGTCGATGCTGTCATTTTTCCTGTTAAAATTTTTTGCTGAGTCGTTTCAGAAGATTTCAATATTTTGCAGTTCTGCAAAGCGTTGCTCTGCAGGAATTTAACAATGTGTGGTCTAATTTTTTCTCTTTTGTTATCGGAATCTGGAGTAGCGTTTACTTATCTTTTTACCATACTTTTGTGGTTACTCAGGAGCTTTGGCATGGTCTCTGGCCGGTCGGTGTAATCAGCGTTGGTGAAGTATGCATTGACGTAGACAAAATGTAAAGCAGCGACAACGGCCGCCCTTCAGAGCCTCCTTCGCCCATTTTGCCGCACCAGCCGGTGCTTCATTCGCTTATTTTTTCTAAGTTAGGGGAGGGGGTATTTTCTCTAGTGACCAGCTCCCGTGGGGCGATGGCGTCCTCCACCTGCACAGCGATGTCGATGGCGTGCTGCAGCACCATTGTGAAACTGTCACTCGTTTGGTTCATTAGACTAAGGGTGACGGTGACGGTGAAACAGGTTGAGGCGCAGTCCTGGTGCCGGCGACTGCCCGACTTTTGCAGACGGGATTCAGAATTTGCCCGATTTTGTAGTGAATCCCCAGTTTTTACAATTTTATTGCTTAAACAGAGATTTGCCAATATGACGAAGGTCAAAAAATAACTATTTTACTTTAAAAAGACAGTACGCCTCGTTCATTAAGAAATCCTTATATCTATCTCACTAAGGCTTTAACGGAGTCTCGATGCACCGTATTGAAGTCAATGTTGTCTGTTGGCTTTATCTTGAAAATGAGCCTTCGCTACGTTCAGTAGGATTGGCAGAGCAGCTGCGAGCACGCTGCGCTGCTGCAATGGGGTGTCGTTGGGAGTTTCATCTAGCAAACAAAGGGCACGGAGTGTATGCAATTTCGTCACTTCTGTTATTAAAATATACAGATGAGTTGGAATTCATTCGTAGCTTTTGCCACGATTTGTAAAAGTGCAAGTCGACAGTGGCAAAAGGTATCCCTTACAAGACGAATCGTCTCTGTCCTAGTGAGACATTTACCAGTAGTATACTAACCATCGGAACGCAATTACCGTCAGAATTTTACCATCAGAGCCCAACTTTACTATCAAAACAATAACATTGGGCCAAAAACTTTCAGGAACGTCCCATTTTGTATCAGGAATTAGACAAATAACTGATCGTACCTTTTTTGATGGTATTTTTCTCCATGATAAATTTTCTGATGGGATTTACACCAATAAATGTCACGGTGCCCAAAATTTCACATTTAACGCGGCAGCGTAAAGCGTTCCAATCATGTCCGCCTAGGACCGTGTTGAAGTGATGCTCACACGACACTACAGCCGCTTACCATTCTTCGTTCCATTCAACACCAAAGTCGTTGAGGGGTTGTCCATGACCACTGCCACGAGGCTTGGGGCACTAGATAAGACACAAAGAACCCCAACAAGCAGGATACATTAGAAAGGTTATAGACACGTTGCCTGAAAACCGGAGGAAGGCAAAAAGTTGACTTATGTGTAATTTGAAATTTTGAGTGGTTCTTAACCTTTAATGCATAGGGTACACTTCAAGAAAAAGAGGTTGTCTTTAAGTGCCACAGTTTTCGAGGCATGGCTGAATGAAAAATAATTAAAGCTCTCTACACCAATTTTGACTTTAAATTTAATTTAAATTGAGCGAATTTCAATTAACATCCGGCAAATGCTTTCGCATCCAAAAAGATGTTTATGGCTGGGATGACACCTGCACTGAAGATAATAACTTGTGGTAATAGTATGGCAAAGTGACTCATAGGCTTTTGATGAGTCACTCTTGCATACCATCCGCAAGTGATTTTAGGGTTAAGTCAGGAACAATACTTGTCCATGATGGCGCTCGAGCCTGGTTTTCCGGGAAATTAAATAAATATGCATCTCCGCTAACCTTCACGTGCACTGCTTTGAAAACGACAGAATAACTTAAATTTACGGCTAGTCCTGACATTGGTCGCTCCGGGTGTTCTTTTTTTTGTAAGCATTGCCCCTGCATCAAAAGACTAGTCAAAGACTCGAAATATCAGCCTTTTGTCCTCTAACGTTGCTTAGATTACAGTTTTCACATTTCTTACAAAATGCCGTCTGCTTGTCGTGGTCCGTCGTTTCACTACAAAAAATAAAAAAATTAAACCGAGTTACACCGATGACGGCCAGTTGGATAAAATAGAAGGGCAAATCATTCGAAGAAGAGCAGGAGCCACCCAAAGCAAAGCCGGGCGGGGAGGTTTCAATTTTTGGTTCGATGACGCCTATTAGCCTCACACACACCTGACCGCTCCACGTTTACAAAAATCACCTTGGACTCGACGACACCCGTTCCCGGTCCCCTCTCGGGTAGGGCCACGACAGGCAGAAGACATTTTGTAAGAAGTGTGAAAACTAATCCAAGCAACGTTAGAGGAAGAAAGGCTGATAATTCGAGTCTTTGATAAGTCTTTGATGCAGGGGCAATGCTAAAAAGAGAACACCCGGAGCGACCAATGTCACGACTGGCCGTAAACTTAAGTTATTCTGTCGTCTTCAAAGTGCATCTGAAGGTTAGCGGCGATGCATATATATTGAATTTCCCCGAAAACCAGACTCGAGTGCCATTGTCTTAACAAGTAGTGTTCCTGATTTTACTCTAAAATCCCTTTCCAATGGTATACAAAAGTGACTCGCAAGCCGATGAGGCACTTTGCTATACTATTACCAAACTTGTCTTCAAATCCTGTTAAAGAAGGCCCTAGTTTTATAAAAATTTAAAATAATGCGTATTTAAGCGTATTGCCGCTGTATAACGTTGTTAATTTAGTCTTTAAGATTTCCTGAAACAATTACAAATTTTGGTCAGTGAAGTAATAGGCTTAGCCGGGCTTATCTGCCGCCCAGCCAAGATGTTTATTGCGACAAAGGGCTGCCCCCTGAAACAAATTTCCATTCTAGAAGATGAGCCCCTAAAATTGCACACCTGCTATTTCACGGACCGTTGAGTCCCAAGG